CCGCACCCAGCCCCATAGATCCCCCCATCCCCACCCCACACAGCCCCATAGATCCCCCATCCACACCCCACCCTGCGCCCCATAGATCCCCCATCCCCATACCCACCCCACCCTGTGCCCCATAGATTCCCCCCTGTCCCCACTGCACACAGCCCCATAGATACCCCGCTCCCCATGCCCACCCCCCCCTGCGCCCCATAGATCCCCCATCCCCACCGCACCCAGCCCCATAGATCCCCCCCATACCCACCCCACCCTGTGCCCCATAGATCCCCCCATACCCACCGCACACTGCGCCCCATAGATCCCCCATCCCCATACCCACCCCACCCTGCGCCCCATAGATCCCCCATCCCCACCCCACACTGCGCCCCATAGATCCCCCCCATCCCCACTGCACCCAGCCCCATAGATCCCCCCCATACCCACCCCACCCTGTGCCCCATAGATCCTTCCCCATCCCCACCCCACACAGCCCCATAGATCCCCCATCCCCACCCCACCCTGCACCCCATAGATCCCCCTCATACCCACTGCACACAGCCCCATAGATCCCCCCCCCATCCCCACCGCACCCAGCCCCATAGATCCCCCATCCCCACCCCCCCACACCCCACAGACCCCCACAACCCCCCCCTTTCCCCCCCCTCAGGTCATCGCGGTTGTGGGGCAGCAGAACGTGGAGGGGAAGCGGATCCCGTTCGGCTTCAAGCACCGCACCCTGCCCCACTTCATCAAGGACGACTACGGCCCCGAGAGCCGGGGCTTCGTGGAGAACTCCTACCTGGCCGGGCTCACCCCCACCGAGTTCTTCTTCCACGCCATGGGGGGCAGGGAAGGCCTCATCGACACGGCCGTCAAGACGGCGGAGACGGGTCAGAGCCTGCCCCATAGCGTGGGGTGTGGGTCAGAGCCTGCCCCATAGCGTGGGGTGTGGGTCAGAGCCTGCCCCATAGCGCGGGGGTGTGTGGGTCAGAGCCTGCCCCATAGCGCGGGGTGTGGGGGTCAGAGCCTGCCCCATAGCGCGGGGTGTGGGGGTCAGAGCCTGCCCCATAGCGCGGGGTGTGGGTCAGAGCCTGCCCCATAGCGTGGGGTGTGGGGGTCAGAGCCTGCCCCATAGCGTGGGGGTGTGGGTCAGAGCCTGCCCCATAGCGTGGGGTGTGGGTCAGAGCCTGCCCCATAGCGTGGGGGTGTGGGTCAGAGCCTGCCCCATAGCGTGGGGGTGTGGGTCAGAGCCTGCCCCATAGCGTGGGGTGTGGGTCAGAGCCTGCCCCATAGCGTGGGGTGTGGGGGTCAGAGCCTGCCCCATAGCGTGGGGGTGTGGGTCAGAGCCTGCCCCATAGCGTGGGGTGTGGGTCAGAGCCTGCCCCATAGCGCGGGGTGTGGGGGTCAGAGCCTGCCCCATAGCGTGGGGTGTGGGTCAGAGCATGCCCCATAGCGCGGGGTGTGGGTCAGAGCCTGCCCCATAGCGTGGGGGTGTGGGTCAGAGCCTGCCCCATAGCGTGGGGTGTGGGTCAGAGCCTGCCCCATAGCGTGGGGTGTGGGGGTCAGAGCCTGCCCCATAGCGTGGGGGTGTGGGTCAGAGCCTGCCCCATAGCGTGGGGTGTGGGTCAGAGCCTGCCCCATAGCGCGGGGTGTGGGGGTCAGAGCCTGCCCCATAGCGTGGGGTGTGGGTCAGAGCATGCCCCATAGCGCGGGGTGTGGGTCAGAGCCTGCCCCATAGCGTGGGGGTGTGGGTCAGAGCCTGCCCCATAGCGCGGGGTGTGGGTCAGAGCCTGCCCCATAGCGCGGGGTGGGGGGTGTGGGTCAGAGCCTGCCCCATAGCGCGGGGTGTGGGTCAGAGCCTGCCCCATAGCGCGTGGGGGTGTGGGTCAGAGCCTGCCCCATAGCGCGGGGTGTGGGTCAGACCCTGCCCCATAGCGTGGGGGTGAGGGGGTCAGAGCCTGCCCCATAGCATGGGGTGTGGGGGTCAGAGCCTGCCCCATAGCGCGTGGGGGTGTGGGTCAGAGCCTGCCCCATAGCGCGGGGTGTGGGGGTCAGAGCCTGCCCCATAGCGTGGGGTGTGGGTCAGAGCCTGCCCCATAGCGGGGGGGTGGGGGTCAGAGCCTGCCCCATAGCGCGGGGTGTGGGTCAGAGCCTGCCCCATAGCGTGGGGTGGGGGGTGTGGGTCAGAGCCTGCCCCATAGCGTGGGGTGTGGGGGTCAGAGCCTGCCCCATAGCGTGGGGGTGTGTGGGTCAGAGCCTGCCCCATAGCGCGTGGGGGTGGGGGTCAGAGCATGCCCCATAGCGCGGGGGGGGTGTGGGTCAGAGCCTGCCCCATAGCGCGGGGTGTGGGTCAGAGCCTGCCCCATAGCGCGGGGGTGTGGGTCAGAGCCTGCCCCATAGCGCGGGGGTGTGGGTCAGAGCCTGCCCCATAGCGGGGGGGTGGGGGTCAGAGCCTGCCCCATAGCGTGGGGGTGTGGGTCAGAGCCTGCCCCATAGCGCGGGTTGGGGGGTGTGGGTCAGAGCCTGCCCCATAGCGCGGGGGGGGGGGTGTGGGTCAGAGCCTGCCCCATAGCGTGGGGTGGGGGGTGTGGGTCAGAGCCTGCCCCATAGCGCGGGGTGTGGGTCAGAGCCTGCCCCATAGCGTGGGGGTGTGGGTCAGAGCCTGCCCCATAGCGTGGGGGTGTGGGTCAGAGCCTGCCCCGTAGCACGGGGGTGTGGGTCAGAGCCTGCCCCATAGCGTGGGGGTGTGGGTCAGAGCCTGCCCCATAGCGCGGGGTGTGGGTCAGAGCCTGCCCCATAGCGTGGGGTGTGGGTCAGAGCCTGCCCCATAGCGTGGGGTGTGGGTCAGAGCCTGCCCCATAGCGCGGGGGTGTGGGTCAGAGCCTGCCCCATAGCGCGGGTGGGGGGGGTGGGTCAGAGCCTGCCCCATAGCGTGGGGTGTGGGGGTCAGAGCCTGCCCCATAGCGCGGGGTGTGGGGGTCAGAGCCTGCCCCATAGCGCGGGGTGTGGGTCAGAGCATGCCCCATAGTGTGGGGGTGTGGGTCAGAGCCTGCCCCATAGCGCGGGGTGTGGGTCAGAGCCTGCCCCATAGTGTGGGGGTGTGGGTCAGAGCCTGCCCCATAGCGTGGGGGTGTGGGTCAGAGCATGCCCCATAGCGTGGGGGTGTGGGGGTCAGAGCCTGCCCCATAGCGTGCGGGGGTGTGGGTCAGAGCCTGCCCCATAGCGTGCGGGGGTGTGGGTCAGAGCCTGCCCCATAGCGTGGGGGTGTGGGGGTCAGAGCCTGCCCCATAGCGTGGGGTGTGGGGGTCAGAGCATGCCCCATAGCGTGGGGGTGTGCGTCAGAGCCTGCCCCATAGCGTGGGTGGGGGGTGTGGGTCAGAGCCTGCCCCATAGCGCGGGGGTGTGGGTCAGAGCATGCCCCATAGCGTGGGGGTGTGGGTCAGAGCCTGCCCCATAGCGTGGGGTGTGGGGGTCAGAGCCTGCCCCATAGCGTGGGGTGTGGGTCAGAGCATGCCCCATAGCGCGGGGGGGGTGTGGGTCAGAGCCTGCCCCATAGCGTGGGGTGTGGGTCAGAGCCTGCCCCATAGCGTGGGGGTGTGGGTCAGAGCATGCCCCATAGCGCGGGGTGTGGGTCAGAGCCTGCCCCATAGCGCGGGGGTGTGGGTCAGAGCCTGCCCCATAGCGCGGGGTGGGGGGTGTGGGTCAGAGCCTGCCCCATAGCGCGGGGGGGTGTGGGTCAGAGCCTGCCCCATAGCGTGGGGTGTGGGTCAGAGCCTGCCCCATAGCGTGGGGGTGTGGGGGTCAGAGCCTGCCCCATAGCGTGGGGGTGTGGGTCAGAGCCTGCCCCATGGCGCGGGGTGTGGGTCAGAGCCTGCCCCATAGCACGGGGGTGTGGGTCAGAGCCTGCCCCATAGCGCGGGGTGTGGGTCAGAGCCTGCCCCATAGCGTGGGGTGTGGGGGTCAGAGCCTGCCCCATAGCGTGGGGGTGTGGGTCAGAGCCTGCCCCATAGCGTGGGGGTGTGGGTCAGAGCATGCCCCATAGCGTGGGGTGTGGGTCAGAGCCTGCCCCATAGCGCGTGGGGGTGGGGGTCAGAGCCTGCCCCATAGCGCGGGGGGGGTGTGGGTCAGAGCCTGCCCCATAGCGTGCGGGGGTGTGGGTCAGAGCCTGCCCCATAGCGTGCGGGGGTGTGGGTCAGAGCCTGCCCCATAGCGGGGTGTGGGTCAGAGCCTGCCCCATAGCGCGGGGTGGGGGTCAGAGCCTGCCCCATAGCGTGGGGTGTGGGGGTCAGAGCCTGCCCCATAGCGTGGGGGTGTGGGTCAGAGCCTGCCCCATAGCGTGGGGGTGTGGGTCAGAGCCTGCCCCATAGCGCGGGGTGTGGGTCAGAGCCTGCCCCATAGCGTGGGGTGTGGGTCAGAGCATGCCCCATAGCGCGGGGTGTGGGTCAGAGCCTGCCCCATAGCGTGGGGGTGTGGGTCAGAGCCTGCCCCATAGCGTGCGGGGCTGTGGGTCAGAGCCTGCCCCATAGCGTGGGGGTGTGGGTCAGAGCATGCCCCATAGCGTGGGGGTGTGGGTCAGAGCCTGCCCCATAGCGTGGGGGTGTGGGTCAGAGCATGCCCCATAGCGTGCGGGGGTGTGGGTCAGAGCCTGCCCCATAGCGTGGGGTGGGGTGTGGGTCAGAGCCTGCCCCATAGCGTGGGGGTGTGGGTCAGAGCCTGCCCCATAGCGTGGGGGTGTGGGTCAGAGCCTGCCTCATAGCGCGGGGTGTGGGGGTCAGAGCCTGCCCCATAGCGCGTGGTGTGGGTCAGAGCCTGCCCCATAGCGCGGGTGGGGTGGGAAGGGGAGGCTCAATGGGGGCTTTCTGGGGGGGGTAAAGGGGGGTTGGGGTGGATGGGATCTGCCCCACATGCAGTGGGGTTTGGGGGTGATGGAATTTGCCAGTCCCACTCCGCCCCCCAAGTCCTCCCTCCCCCTCCACCCCCCAATCCCACTCTGCCCCCCATCCCCCCCAACCCCACTCCACCCCCCAAGTCCCCCCTAACCCCTCTCCGCCCCCCAACGCCCCCCAATCCCTCTCCACCCCCCAAGTCCCCCAACCCCCCCAGTCCCACTCTGCCCCCCAAGTCCCCCCAACCCCCCCCATCCTGCTTCACCCCCCCAAGTCTCCCCATTACCACTCTGCCCCCCAACCCCCCCATCCCCTCTCCACCCCCCAAGTCCCCCCTCTCTCTCCGCCCCCCAACTCCCCCCAGTCCCACTCTGCCCCCCAACCCCCCCATCCTGCTTCACCCCCCAAGTCCCCCCTCTCTCTCCGCCCCCCAACTCCCCCCAATCCCTCTCCGCCCCCCAACCCCCCCATCCCCTCTCCACCCCCCAAGTCCCCTCTCTCTCTGCCCCCCAACCCCCCCAGCCGCTCTCCACCCCCCAATTCCCCCCATCCCCCCCAACCGCACTCCACCCCCCAAGTCCCCCCTAACCCTTCTCCGCCCCCCAACGCCCCCCAATCCCTCTCCATCCCCCAACTCCCCCCCTCCCCCCCATCCCCCCCAACCCCACTCCACCCCCCAACCCCCCCATCCCCTCTCCGCCCCCCAACTCCCCCCAACCCCCCCCATCCTGCTTCACCCCCCAACCCCCCCATCCCACTCTGCCCCCCAACCCCCCCATTACCACTCTGCCCCCCAAGTCCCCCCATCCCCTCTCCACCCCCCAACCCCCCCAGTCCCTCTCTGCCCCCCAAGTCCCCCCAATGTCCCCCCAGTCCCACTCCAACCCCCATCCCCTCCCTCCCTCCGCCCCCCAAGCGCCCCCCATGACCTCCGTCCGTCGCTCTGCCCCACAGGTTACATCCAGCGCCGGCTGATCAAGTCCATGGAGTCGGTGATGGTGAAGTACGACGCCACGGTGCGGAACTCCATCAACCAGGTGGTGCAGCTGCGCTATGGGGAGGACGGGCTGGGGGGCGAGAGCGTGGAGTTCCAGAACCTCGCCACGCTCAAGGCCTCCAACAAGGCCTTCGAGAAGAAGTAAGGGGGCAGAGATGGGGGGGCGGCTGGGGTTGGTTATGGGGAGGAGAACTTGGGGGGCAGCTGGGGTTGGGGGGGGACAGAGCTTGGGGGGTGGCGGGGGTTGGTTGGGGGGGGCAGAACTTGGTTATGGGGGACAGAACTTAGGGGGCAGCAGGGTTTGGTTATGGGGGGCAGAGCTGGGGGGGCGGCTGGGGCTGGTTATGGGGAGGAGAACTTGGTTATGGGGGACAGAACTTGGGGGGCAGCTGGGGTTGGTTGGGGGCAGGGGAAGACAGAACTTGGGGGGCAGCAGCATTTGGTTATGGGGGACAGAACTTGGGGGGCAGCTGGGGTTGGAGGGGGGCAGAGCTTGGGGGGCAGCTGGGGTTGGGTGTGGGGCACAGAACTTGGGGCAGTAGGGGTTGGTTGGGGGGAGGGAGAAGTTGGGGGGCAGCTGCGGTTGGTTATGGGGGGCAGAGCTTGGGGGGCAGCTGCGGTTGGTTGTGGGGGACAGAACTTAGGGGGCAGCTGCGGTTGGGGGGGAGGGGGCAGACTTGGGGGGCAGCTGCGGTTGGTTATGGGGGGGAGACAGAACTTGGGGGGCAGCTGCGGTTGGGGGTTGGGTGGGGGGAGAGAACTTAGGGGGCAGCTGCAGTTGGGTCGGGGGAGGAGAACTTGGGGGGCAGCTGGGGTTGGTTATGGGGGGCAGAGCTTGGGGGGCAGTAGGGGTTGGTTGGGGGGCAGAGCTTGGGGGGCAGCTGGGGTTGGTTATGGGGGACAGAGCTTAGGGGGCAGCTGGGGTTGGTTGGGGGGGAAGAGAACTTGGGGGTAGCTGGGGTTGGTTATGGGGGACAGAACTTGGGGGGCAGCTGCAGTTGGCGGGGGGAGAGAACTTGGGGGGCAGCTGCGGTTGGGGGGGACAGAACTTAGGGGGCAGTAGGGGTTGGGGGGGAGGGGGCAGACTTGGGGGGCAGCTGCGGTTGGGGGTTGGGTGGGGGGAGAGAACTTAGGGGGCAGCTGCAGTTGGTTTGGTGGAGGAGAACTTGGGGGGCAGCTGCGGTTGGGTGGGGGAAGAGAACTTGGGGGGTAGCTGGGGTTGGGGGGTGGGGGGACAGAACTTGGGGGGCAGCTGCGGTTGGTTATGGGGGACAGAACTTGGGGGGCAGCAGGGTTTGGTTATGGGGGGCAGAGCTTGGGGGGCAGCTGGGGTTGGTTATGGGGAAGAGAACTTGGTTATGGGGGACAGAACTTGGGGGGCAGCAGGGTTTGGTTATGGGGAACACAAGTTGGGGGGCAGCTGGGGTTGGTTGTGGGGAAGAGAACTTGGGGGTAGCTGGAGGTGTGTGGGGGGCAGAACTTGGGGGGCAGCTGCAGTTGGGTGGGGGAAGAGAACTTGGTTATGGGGGACAGAACTTGGGGGGCAGCTGGGGTTGGTTGTGGGGAGGGGGGGAGATAGAACTTGGGGGGCAGCAGCATTTGGTTATGGGGAACAGAACTTGGGGGCCTCAGGGTTTGGTTATGGGGGACAGAACTTGGGGGGCAGCTGCAGTTGGTTGTGGGGGACAGAACTTAGGGGGCAGTAGGGGTTGGTTGGGGGGCAGGGAGAACTTGGGGGGCAGCTGGGGTTTGTTGGGGGCAGAGGGAGATAGAACTTGGGGGGCAGCAGCATTTGGTTATGGGGGACATAACTTGGGGGGCAGCAGCGTTTGGTTATGGGGGACAGAACATGGGGGGCAGCAGGGTTTGGTTGTGGGGAGGCGGACACACAGCTTGGTTGTGGGGCTGGGAAGGGGGTAAGGGTTATGGGGAGATGGGCTATGGGGAGGAGGTGGGGCTGAGGAGCTTCTGAGCGTGGGGGAGCTCAACTTGGTGCCCCCCAAGTTCTTGTGTCCACCTTGGTGCCCCCCATGTTCCCTTCTGCCCCACATTGACCCCTTTCCTGCCCCACACATCCAGGTTCAGGTTTGATTGCAGCAAAGAGCGGGCGCTGTGGCGGATGCTGACCCCTTTCCTGCCCCACACTGACCCCTTTCCTGCCCCACATTGACCCCTTTCCTGCCCCACACTGACCCCTTTCTCTCCTGCCCCACACTGACCCCTTTCCTGCCCCACACTGACCCCTTTCCTGCCCCACACTGAGCCCTTTCTCCTGCCCCACACTGACCCCTTTCCTGCCCCACACTGACCCCTTTCCTGCCCCACACTGAGCCCTTTCTCCTGCCCCACACTGAGCCCTTTCTCCTGCCCCACACTGAGCCCTTTCTCCTGCCCCACACTGACCCCTTTCCTGCCCCACACTGAGCCCTTTCTCCTGCCCCACACTGACCCCTTTCTCCTGCCCCACACTGACCCCTTTCCTGCCCCACACTGACCCCTTTCCTGCCCCACACTGAGCCCTTTCCTGCCCCACACTGACCCCTCTCTCCTGCCCCATAGATTCCGGTTTGACTGCAGCAACGAGCGGGCGCTGCGGCGCACGCTGCAGGAGGAGCTGGGACACTGAGCCCTTTCCTGCCCCACACTGACCCCTTTCCTGCCCCACACTGAGCCCTTTCCTGCCCCACACTGAGCCCTTTCTCCTGCCCCACACTGACCCCTTTCCTGCCCCACACTGACCCCTTTCCTGCCCCACACTGACCCCTTTCCTGCCCCACACTGACCCCTTTCCTGCCCCACACCGACCCCTTTCCTGCCCCACACTGAGCCCTTTTCTGCCCCACACTGACCCCTTTCCTGCCCCACATTGACCCCTTTCCTGCCCCACACTGACCCCTTTCCTGCCCCACACTGACCCCTTTCCTGCCCCACATTGACCCCTTTCCTGCCCCACATTGACCCCTTTCCTGCCCCACACTGACCCCTTTCCTGCCCCACACTGACCCCTTTCCTGCCCCACACTGAGCCCTTTCCTGCCCCACACTGAGCCCTTTCCTGCCCCACACTGACCCCTTTCCTGCCCCACATTGACCCCTTTCCTGCCCCACACTGACCCCTTTCTCTCCTGCCCCACACTGACCCCTTTCCTGCCCCACACTGACCCCTTTCTCTCCTGCCCCACACTGAGCCCTTTCCTGCCCCACACTGACCCCTTTCTCCTGCCCCACACCGACCCCTTTCCTGCCCCACACTGACCCCTTTCCTGCCCCACACTGACCCCTTTCCTGCCCCACACTGACCCCTTTCTCTCCTGCCCCACACTGACCCCTTTCCTGCCCCACACTGAGCCCTTTCCTGCCCCACACTGACCCCTTTCCTGCCCCACACCGACCTCTTTCCTGTGCGACACTGAGCCCTTTTCTGCCCCACACTGACCCCTTTCCTGCCCCACACTGACCCCGTTCTCTCCAGCCCCACACTGAGCCCTTTCCTGCCCCACACTGACCCCTTTCTCCTGCCCCACACCGACCCCTTTCCTGCCCCACACCGACCCCTTTCCTGCCCCACACTGACCCCTTTCCTGCCCCACATTGACCCCTTTCCTGCCCCACACTGACCCCTTTCTCTCCTGCCCCACACTGACCCCTTTCCTGCCCCACACTGACCCCTTTCTCTCCTGCCCCACACTGAGCCCTTTCCTGCCCCACACTGACCCCTTTCTCCTGCCCCACATTGACCCCTTTCCTGCCCCACACTGACCCCTTTCTCTGCTGCCCCACACTGACCCCTTTCCTGCCCCACACTGACCCCTTTCTCTCCTGCCCCACACTGACCCCTTTCCTGCCCCACACTGACCCCATTCCTGCCCCACACTGACCCCTTTCCTGCCCCACACTGACCCCTTTCCTGCCCCACACTGACCCCTTTCCTGCCCCACACTGACCCCTTTCCTGCCCCACACCGACCCCTCTCTCCTGCCCCATAGATTCCGGTTTGACTGCAGCAACGAGCGGGCGCTGCGGCGCACGCTGCAGGAGGAGCTGGGACACTGAGCCCTTTCCTGCCCCACACTGACCCCTTTCCTGCCCCACACTGAGCCCTTTCCTGCCCCACACTGAGCCCTTTCTCCTGCCCCACACTGACCCCTTTCCTGCCCCACACTGACCCCTTTCCTGCCCCACACTGACCCCTTTCCTGCCCCACACTGACCCCTTTCCTGCCCCACACCGACCCCTTTCCTGCCCCACACTGAGCCCTTTTCTGCCCCACACTGACCCCTTTCCTGCCCCACACTGACCCCTTTCCTGCCCCACACTGACCCCTTTCCTGCCCCACACTGACCCCTTTCCTGCCCCACATTGACCCCTTTCCTGCCCCACATTGACCCCTTTCCTGCCCCACACTGACCCCTTTCCTGCCCCACACTGACCCCTTTCCTGCCCCACACTGAGCCCTTTCCTGCCCCACACTGAGCCCTTTCCTGCCCCACACTGACCCCTTTCCTGCCCCACATTGACCCCTTTCCTGCCCCACACTGACCCCTTTCTCTCCTGCCCCACACTGACCCCTTTCCTGCCCCACACTGACCCCTTTCTCTCCTGCCCCACACTGAGCCCTTTCCTGCCCCACACTGACCCCTTTCTCCTGCCCCACACCGACCCCTTTCCTGCCCCACACTGACCCCTTTCCTGCCCCACACTGACCCCTTTCTCCTGCCCCACACTGAGCCCTTTCCTGCCCCACACTGACCCCTTTCCTGCCCCACACTGACCCCTTTCCTGCCCCACACTGAGCCCTTTCCTGCCCCACACTGACCCCATTCTTTCCTGCCCCATAGATTCAGGTTTGACTGCAGCAACGAGCGGGCGCTGCGGCGCACGCTGCAGGAGGAGCTGGGACACTGAGCCCTTTCCTGCCCCACACTGAGCCCTTTCCTGCCCCACACTGACCCCTTTCCTGCCCCATAGATTCCGCTTTGACTGCAGCAACGAGCGGGCGCTGCGGCGCACGCTGCAGGAGGAGCTGGTCAAGGAGCTCCTGTCCAACGCTCACGTCCAGAACGAGCTGGAGCGGGAGTTCGAGAGGATGAGGGAGGACAGGGAGGTGCTCAGGGTCATCTTCCCCACCGGGGACAGCAAGGTGGGGGAGGGGATCCGGGGGTGGGGGAGGGGATCCATGGGGTGGGGGATGGGCAATGGGATGGGGGAGGGGCAATGGGGGGATCCTCATCTTCCCCACCGGGGACAGCAAGGTGGGGGAGGGGATCCATGGGGGGCAAGGGGGGGGGATGGGCAATGGGGGATCCTCATCTTCCCCACCGGGGACAGCAAGGTGGGGGAGGGGGGGATCCATGGGGTGGGGAGGGGCAATGGGGGGGATGGGCAATGGGGGGCAATGGGGGGGGGATGGGGGGGAATCCATGGGGGGCGATGGGGGGGGATGGGCAATGGGGGGATCCTCATCTTCCCCACCGGGGACAGCAAGGTGGGGGAGGGGATCCGTGGGGGGGGGAGGGGCAATGGGGGGGATGGGGGTGATCCATGGGGTGGGGGATGGGGGGGGCAGGGGGGGGGGATCCTCATCTTCCCCACAGGGGACAGCAAGGTGGGGGAGGGGATCCGTGGGGGGGGGAGGGGCAATGGGGGGGATGGGCAATGGGGGATCCTCATCTTCCCCACCGGGGACAGCAAGGTGGGGGGCAGGGGGGGATCCGTGGGGTGGGGATGGGGGTATCCTCATCTTCCCCACCGGGGACAGCAAGGTGGGGGAGGGGATCCATGGGGGGGGGAGGGGCAATGGGGGGGAGGGGCAATGGGGGGGATCCTCATCTTCCCCACCGGGGACAGCAAGGTGGGGGAGGGGATCCATGGGGGGCAATGGGGAGATCCATGGGGGGGAGGGGCAATGGGGGAATCCTCATCTTCCCCACCGGGGACAGCAAGGTGGGGGGCAGGGATCCGTGGGGTGGGGGATGGGCAATGGGGGGATCCTCATCTTCCCCACCGGGGACAGCAAGGTGGGGGAGGGGAATGGGGGGGGAGGGGCAATGGGGAATCCATGGGGGGCAGGGCCAATGGGGGGATCCTCATCTTCCCCACTGGGGATAGCAAGGTGGGGGAGGGGAATGGGGATCCATGGGGGGGGAGGGGCAATGGGGGGCAATGGGGGGGGGAGGGGCAATGGGGGGATCCTCATCTTCCCCACCGGGGACAGCAAGGTGGGGGAGGGGAATGGGGGGGGGAGGGGCAATGGGGGGGGATGGGCAATGGGGGGATCCATGGGGGGCAATGGGGTGGGGGATGGGCAGTGGGGGGATCCTCATCTTCCCCACAGGGGACAGCAAGGTGGGGGAGGGGATCCATGGGGGTCCATGAGGGGCAATGGGGAGGGAGGGGCAATGGGGAGGGATGCGCAATGGGGGTTCCATGGGAGGGGGGGAGGGGCAATGGGGGATCCTCATCTTCCCCACCAGGGACAGCAAGGTGGGGGGCAGGGCAATGGGGGGGGGGCGATGGGAATGGGGGGGATGGGCAATGGGGGGGGAGGGGGGGACACAGGGAATGGGGGGATCCATGGGGGGGGGAACCCCTTTTTTGACCTCCTGAACCCTGAAGTCCTGAGCCCCATTTTTGAGGTCCTATCCCCTATTTTGTGGGTCCTCAGCCCCATTTTGGGGGTCCTGAACCCCATTTTTGAGGTCCTATCCCCTATATTGTGGGTCCTGAACCCCATTTTTGGGGTGCTGAACCCCATTTTTGAGGTCCTATCCCCTATTTTGGGGGTCCTGAACCCCATTTTTGGGGTGCTGAGCTCCATTTTTGAGGTCCTATCCCCTATTTTGTGGGTCCTGAACCCCATTTTTGAGGTCCTATCCCCCATTTTGTGGGTTCTGAACCCCATTTTGGAGGTGCTGAGCTCCATTTTTGAGGTCCTGAGCCCCATTTTGGAGGTCCTATCCCCTATCTTGTGGGTTCTGAACCCCATTTTGGAGGTCCTGAACCCCATTTTGTGGGTCCTGAACCCCATTTTTGAGGTCCTGAACCCCATTTTTGAGGTCCTATCCC